TCAGGATCCCAGAACCCGACACCGCGCCTGGTGCCCACTTATGCGTGTGCACATGCAGGGCTGCACGCAGGCCCAGCACCCACTGTTGCTCCCACCTGTTTTGCCTGCCCAGCACAGGCTCAGGGCCTGTCTGTGGCATCTGCTTCAGGGACACACCACACGGTCTCTAGGCTGCGGGAGGGGAAGGATCTTCACCGCCACCCTCCAGTAGGGTTGCCAAACAACACAGGTGAACTTGAGGTCCTCAGGAACCCTCGCTCACCTGGGGGCATCTATGCGTGGGCGTGCGGACGCCTGGGATGTCTACGGAAAACTTGTTACTTATCTGAAATTCAGATTTACCTGGGCATCACCGTCCACCTCTGCTGCCCTATGCACAGGGTTCCCTTCCTGGCTGTGGGGCAAATGACTGAGAAGGTGCAGGTGGCACGGGAGCCCAGGACATCCTGGGACCCTCAGGAAATGGGTCTTGTTCCTGGGCATTTTGTGGAACACGTGGCAGGCCAGCTAGAGTGAGGGCCAGGCCAGGCTGGCTGAGGTCTCTCGTGGGAAGAGAGAGGGAGACGGCAGGTGCGCATGGGGCCTGTGAGGGTCCACAAGGACGTGAGAAGAGGAAAAGCAGAGTTCTGGGCTGGGAGGGCCCTGGAGCCCATCCACATGGCCCCCCTTGAGTGGTCTCCCAGCCCCCACCACCACTCTGGCTCCCTGGGCCTGATCTGCCCCCAGAGCACCCTAAAATGGGACGGGGGCCAAGGCCTGCGGTCACTGTCAGTCACTTGCCTGGGTATCGATGCCTGTTGGTGCCCAGGTCAGGAAGGGCTGGGCTGCCAGGGCACGAGCATGTGGCTGAGCCTGGGTGGGGGACACATGGGCTCACAGGCCGGGCCTCAGGCCTTCCCTCAGTGTGGACACAGGAAGCCACGACTAGGGCTTAGTCCCAGCCTGGGAAGGCACCTCGGCCAGGGAGGGAGGCTGCCCCGGGTGAGAGGAGAGAAACGGTCCTTCCCGACAGGGGCTCAGGACAGAGGGACCCCCAGGGTGGGAGGAAGGACAGGATGGAGGCCAGGGAACCCTGCCCACTGAGGCACGACAGGGCACCCCAGAGTGTGACCCTCCACTTACTTCCTGTTTGTTCTCATTTTCGGGGCAGCACCTTCAGGACCTTCTGTTCCCCAGGTCAGCCCTAAGTCTCCTCCAGGGCTGGCCATCTCTCCTGGGCTTTGGCAGGCACCCCTCCTGGGCCTTGCCAGTGCAGCCTGCTGTGCTGGCCCCCTGTTCTTTGCCCTTGGTGGACCTGCCCTGGTCATGTCCGTGGCCAGCCCAGCCACATCAGGAGGATCCAGGGCCCCGCTTCCTGCCTCCTGCCAGGGAGCCATGCCTCCCCAGACAGGTGGGGTCTTTCTCCAGAGGCCTGCCAGACCCTTGGGGTTGAGGCAGAGCCAGCCGTCCTCCTGCTGCCCTGGCCACCATCACGTGGAGGCCCCTGGGCACCCAGCACCTCTGGGAGCTTGGCTTATGAACGGGCATCTGTGGGGAAGAAACATGGCTGGCGGCCAGCCCCAAACAAGGCAGAGCAGGACAGGGCAGGCTGAGCGGCAGCAGCCAGGCCAGGTGGCCACCCTTCCTGTTCCCACTGGCTGCACCCAGGGCCTGGCCACCTGTGGGAGGGCCACCTCACCCTGGCCAGGACCCCCATCACAGGTGCTGGACTGAGGGGCTTGGGCCAGTCTGTAGGGGTCTCCAACCTGCCCCAACCCAGGAAATGAGTGTTGCAGGGGCATAGGTGGGTCCCTGTGTGTTCTAGCCTGTGCCCTGGACGTGCGTGCACGTGGGAGACTGCCTGGGACACAGGGAGCTGTGTGTGTGCGCCAGGTCCTCCCAGCATACCCCCACACACAGGTCACCCTCCGGGCTCCTGGTCCTCAGGCAGGACTTGGCTCTCTCCGAGGGTGGAAGCAGAGGTCTCAGCTGGGTGACCCTCAGCGTCCAGCATGTCTGGGCACATGTGCAGATGTCACAACAGGGGTGTCCTGGTCTGGAGTGGAGGCCAGGGATGCTACTCAGTGCCCTGCAGTGCCCAGGACACCATCCACAGTGCCAGGGGGACTGGCAGAAGGAACCCAGGGCCAGGGGTCTGCATTTCCTCAGTTTTTTTTTTAAAGAGAGAGTGAGAGAGGAGAGAGAGAGAGAGAGAGAATTTTTAATATTTATTATTATTTTTTTTAGTTCTCGGCGGACACAACATCTTTGTTGGTATGTGGTGCTGAGGATCGAACCCGGGCCGCACGCATGCCAGGCGAGCGCGCTACCGCTGAGCCCCATCCCCAGCCCATTTCCTCAGTTTTATTACCCACAGAGTAAGACTTTAAAGGGACCCACCTGCTGGGCTGCAGCAGATGCACAGACGCACAGAAGCACACACAGACACACAGACGCACACTCACACACACGCGCGCACACACTACCGTGATGCACAGGACAGGGCCTGGCTCAGGTTTGGGGAGAAGGCCCATCCGCTCGGGCACTCCAGGGCTGCTCCCTGTGGCTGCATGAGGGACAAACTCACTTGGGTCCCACTTGAGGGAGGACACAGCTAACCCCCCAACCAAGAACACACCTCCCAGTCACCCCAGGAAATGCTTCAGCTGACTGCCGTGAGCTGTGTCCCCAGGAAAACCTGTGTGTGTCCGAGTCTTGCACCTGTGAGGGGGACTTCATTGGGAAACGGGGCCTTTGCAGGTGTGAGGAGTAAAGGTGTAGCCCTGAGGGCGGTTCTGTCCAAGGTGGGTGCTGACACATGACAGCTGTCCTCGGAACAGGCACACTGGGACGGGAGAGGCGCCCCAGGAAGACAGGCACCAGCCAGGGCCGTCGGAGCCCCAGCGCTTGGGAGAGGCAGAAAGGGTCCTCCCTTGGCCACTGGTGGGACCGCGGCCCTGCGCACGCCTGGCTCTCAGACCTCTGGGCTCCCGAGCACAGCAGCGTCCATTCCCACTGTTGAGAGCGCCCAGCTCGCCGTCATTTGCTACTTGAGTCTCTGGGAGCCCATACCCCTCCTGGGCTGGGCCAAAGCTGTGCCAGGTGAGGGACAGACTCCCACGGGTTGGTGGGTGTGGGGGAGGTGCAGAGTCCAGCCTGAGCTCTCACTCTGGGGTCTTCTGACGTCCCCAGGGTTCCTCACTCACAAAGCCAGCCAGCCATCCCACACACCTACACAACCCAGGTGCACGCTCACACACGCGCACACTACAGCCAGCATTCCTATGTTGGGGTCCTGGACATGCAGGGGACAGATTTAAGCTCTTCTGGAACGGACACTGGAGGGGGGCAGGGGCCCATCCGTTCCTGTCCACACACAAAAGCACAGTCATGTGAAAGCAAAGCCTGACCCTGACACACGGAGAAGTCCCTGACCTGGACCCAGGGGTGGGAGGGGACAGCCAGGCAAGGGGGATGTGGGGAGGAGGAGGGGTTGAGGTCTCTCCTGGGCAGGCGACCTAGCAGCCCTACACAGACAGACGCACAGACGCACTGAGACACAGACACACACACAGACACATAGACGCTCTCTCTCGCACACACACCCACACATAGAGCAGGCAAGGAAGTCGGGGGCTCCTCGCTGACCATCTTTGGCCAACAGTTGTGGAACATCAACGCTGGGGATGGTGGGACGGATTGGAGAGCCCCCTGCAGGTTCCTCCAAATGCCCCTGTGGCTTTAGCTGGGGTCTGGAGGGCAGTGAACAGAGGCTGCCCAGCAGGGAAGGGGCCCATCCAACTTCAGGTCAGTGGGCTCCAGCATCTCTGAGCTCTGGGCCTGGTTAGGACCAGCAGAGAGAGGTGGTGGAGGCTTCTGGAGGGACAAGACCGGGTCGGAGAGGAGGGACTGCTGGGATCACAGCTGGCGAAGCCCCTCAGTGCCTAAGGCAGGGACCTCAAGAGGGGCAAGGTGCAAGGACAGGGGTGGATTCTACTGGTCTGGTTGGGTTTTACCTCTGGACCCGGCCTCCTGCACCCCAGCAGCTCCTTCCCACTCCTCCCTGATATGCTGTTTAACAGACCCCAGTCCCCACATCTTCTTCTCTGCCAACAACCGGAGGTGCCTGCTTCCTGGCTGGAAGTGGCCCAGCTGGGGTAATCCTGGTGGGACTGTGCAAGGGGGTCAGTTTCGGAGCATCAAGGAACTGGCAAGAGAAAGTCATAGCAGGTTGCACAGCAGGGGCATTGCTAAGGTTAGGGGTGTTGCCTTGCACGGGGCCAGACAGAAGGATCCGGTCACTGCCAGAGTTTCGCTGGACCTCAAGCTTCAAGCAGCTTAAGGCAGGTCCACGCAAGCTGACGCCACCAGGAAGCCTGCCTGGGTTCTGCGATAGCAGCCCCTCCCCCCGACCCTCAGCGCCATACGCGGACTGCGCAAGCGCACGCGGGAGAACCGGCGCGGGGCCGCCCGCTCCTAGAGCGCGCAGCCGCACTGCTCCACGCTCCACCTCACTGCACTGGGGGGCGTGTCCTGAGTGGGGGCGGGGCCA